GTTACTCCCAGGATTGTCAAGACAGTGGGGCGATAGTGGCTCAGCTGGTAGAGCACTGGCCTTTGAGCCGGAAGGTCGTGGGGTCGAGCCCTCCATAAGACTTTCTCCTCCGATTCCCACTGATGTCTGCTGTCGTTGTGTCATCAGGTGTTCCCAGAGGAACACCTGATGACACAGTAGGGCGGCTGCGGCTCTAAAGTGCCAACCTGCCGTTGTGTCCTTAGGCAAGACACTTCCCCCCCATTGCCTAGAATGAGTCTGATGTGTGTGAATGGTTGGTGGTGGTCGGAGAGGCCGATGGCACTTACTGGTTGCCTCGCTTCTCTCAGTGTGCCCCTGGGCAGCTGTGGCTACAGTAGTAGTTTATCACCACCGTTTATGGAGTGAAGAATAATGACATGTGAAGCTTCTTTGAGTGTCCTGAAAAGTGCTATATAAAACTGATTCATTATCATTATTAAGAGTTGCATGAGGTGGAGCTGCAGGTATAAGAGAACTCATGGAAGCTGTGCATGCAACGCACCTGGACTTGAAGAACATTATATAGATCAGTAGTTTGTAAATTTGGATACAGTAAGAATAATACAAAAAATTACTTACTTAAAAATAAGAGGAGAAAAATGTATAATTATATTCTAATAATTTAGTCATACCTCTAGGCATGAGTTTCTGAGTTTCCCCATGAAGTCCAGGGAGTATAAATCCCTTGAGGTGCTCTATTCCCACTTGAATAATTTGAATCTCCAACTTCTGCACTGCACCAACTCAATGTCAGCTGCATTGCTCAGGTCTAACCTATTTAAGGTCGAGGCTAAGATGAAGGTGAGTTTGATAAATATATTGAAACTTGAAATAATGAAAATAACAACACAATTGTGTACATAATAATGGGCCTTTATAGGAAAAAATAATTGCTCATTGAATTAATCATAGAATCTTTTGGAATCACTGGGGAGCACTGTCATTCAGGATGTGGACTACATCCAAATTCAACATTAAATAATAATTACAATTGTCCTTTTATTAAACTGGATGGCTCCAAATTTTGTCAAAAATAAAGTAACGTCTTTTTCAAATTTTTTGATGCTACGGAAGTCTAGTTTTACAGAGACAAGTAACATCAGAAGAAATAACAAGAAATTATGAGGAAGGAGGGACATCAAAACAATGAATGTGCCATATTTAGAATGGTTCACGTTGACATTTTCAACAATTTTGTCGACACCATTACCCTATACTTTACCTTGTTTGGTGCTTTTTGTCAAAAGTCTCCCACACAGGAGGGTGCTGCTTGCAGAGGCTTGAACCATGGATCAGATTTGGCCTTGAACTCATGCTTGAACCGACTGTACTTGCCATCAGCCTATCTATTTTAGAATGGGCATATGCAAAACAAATTTAAAAACAAAATAATAAAACGTAATGAAATAGCAGTATTTAGCTTTCACCTAACCACAAACCTGTTTTGTTTGAAGCTAGAACCATAGACTAACAGAGATTAAATTAAATATAAAAATAAATTCCTTTAAACATTTTTCCATTTTGAGGCTTACAGGAGTTAATTTTATTTCTTTCATCATTATTTATGTTTTATCCCTTTCTTTATTTGGTAGATATTTATAATCGCCTTTTGTAGTAATATTAATGATTCTTCTTAATTTTTTTTAATTATTTTTTTTCCCCAAAATGTTTTTATTTTCAATTTACAACAATCGTCAAAGACGAGACATCTGAAAATAGAGAGCTCATATCAAAATACGTACAATAAAAATAAAGTAAAAATAAATTAATAAACCAAAAAAGGTCATTTAGTTTGTGTCAGGAGGTTTCATTGAAGAGGTATTTGTAACAGTCCTGGAGTCGTTTGCTTTTCTTATTCATTACATACAGCCAGGGGCGATTTCAGACATTCAGCGTCAGGGGTGCTTAGCACCTAGGGGTGGGTGGGGCATATGTAGATGGAATTTCAATATGAGGGAAATTGAACTTCAATGGGCTCATAAGAAAAAATGTATGCATATAATTTATTTATTGTAATAATAGTACAATAAAACATAAATAGAACAGACTGGCTCATCAGAACTATAAATTACAATAAATTCTGAAATCCAGCATACTGCAATTAGCACGGCCTGATTCTTAAAGAGTTAATCTGAGACGCCTCACTCTCAGTCGTGCAAATCTGTCAATTTTGTCAAGAACTTCCTTTTCAATTGACATAAGTGCAGGTTGTGAATCCTACTTTGACCAGAGGTCCTTCTCAACTAAGAGCTACAGCTGCTGACAGGAAGTCAATGCAACCTGTTTATAGGGATGGATGGAAACACCTCATCTTCCAAGAGAGCATGTCTTGCATTGGCATTGCCTCACTCTTGCGCTTAAGGTAATTTTTAGCAACTATCACTTCTTCTGTTTTCAGATCAATGTGATAATGTTGGGCCAGTGTTGACAAATGATGCTCAGACAAGAAAAGGGCAGATGTAGGACTGCATGCTTGAAAACCTTGAAGCAACATCTGACTAACACCAGATAATCTCTTCTCAAGTTCAGCCAGCATACGATCCAAACAAGGAAACAAAAGTTTCATTTGATAATCCACCGACTCTAAGCAGACATCAGCTTCCCTCGTTGCCCCACATGAGGATTCCACAACATCTAAATTTCTTGCCTTAGCTCGTTTACCTGAAGAAGGTTCTGGAATCTCATTTGCCTCACACAGACTCTTTGCTCTTGTATAAATGTCTGCAGCCGTGACATCACTTGGTTTCTCTTTAAGGGAATCAATACTCGCATCTTTGAAAGCTAAGGCATGTGCTAACAGCAACAACAACAGCAACCACTTATTCTTGTATAGCCCTAAATCACGACAGAAGTAATCTCAGCGGACTTAACAAAACCATTGAAATCACGAACACAGATCAGAGAATCAACAGTTAAAACAAAAAATATTCAAATATGAGTTGGTCCATAGGGAGAGACTAATGCCCATGAATATTGAAAAACGTTGCCCTCAAACATTGCCCTCAAAGCAAATATAAGAAATAATAATTCCATCACTCACACAACTCATGCTTGGACCAACATTTGTAGCAGAGTTTTCTGACATTGATACACATTTGTGTGGTTAGTATCTTACCTGCTGTTCTCCCTCACTCTGCCCCTGATCAATGTTCTTCTTCTCTTTAACTGCTGTCAACTAAAAGACACATTTAATATACATGAAGTACACTATAAAGTAAATATAGCACCTATTAATTTAAAACTCAAGGTCAGATCACAACAACGGTATTTTGAATAATTTGATTCTGCATTACTGGTATCAAACTAAGCAGTTTCGCTCTGATCCTCTGATGACATCACAGCAGTATCTTTTTACCTGATCACAGGCAAACACAGTGTGTTATTTCAGGACACACAGACTAATTCAGGCCAATTACTGTCCTTTATACTATTTAATATTTACCTAAAAATTACACAAACATCACCTGAAGCTTTCCCTTAGAAAACCCTCTAATATCCATCTTTGCAGCTAGTCCACTCTTGCAAACAAAAATACAGTGTAAATGTGTTTTTTGCTTTCAGTATGGAGTTATATTCAATATTATAAATATAACAAAGCTATCACAACACAGACTTACTATGCTACTTGATCAAGTGACAGTGATGAAGATATCATTACAGAGCTAGCTAGCTTTGTTTTCATTTCTTAGTATAATGTTAAGGGCTTCAAATACCATATAAAGCATGAACTGTGTGTGTGACAAGCAGGAGATAAGTAAATGTGACGCCAAATGACTCAATTCAAGAGAACTTTACGTCGGACTTTTCCATGTTAGATCTGCCACAAACACTCGGAACCACGAGCACGGAGCACCAGTGTATGTAGCGTTAGCAGCAGAACTGTACACATAAAGTTTATGGGAAAAGATGGGATAAAAAAAATAATTACCAACCAAGTAAACGTGAAAGTCACTGGCAAATTCGGACGTAGTTCAGTCTCAGCGCACAGACACAGACAGACACAGAGGTCAGAGAGGCAGACGCAGCGGGACAGGTGCAATGACTCCAGTCCAGACATTTTAAAATGGATGGTAACAACAAATTTTACGAAACAATAATACAGTATTTATACATAACCTATATCTGGATGCGTTATAAAAATTCGATTAAATTTTTTTTTTTTCATTTTTATATATTTTTTGTTCTTGTGCTTGGGGTGCTTGTTATTATTATAGATCCATGTGCTTGACATATTTTTTAAAAGCTAGCCCCTTTTTAGGAGCAGTGAGTTCTCTTCTTTATTTTTTTTAACACCTACGGAAATACACCAGTGACGTAAGTTCTCTGGTCACGTGAGATTGTTTACTTCCTGCTCTTCTGTTTCACGCTCACAGACCATGCGGAAAAAGCGCGTTCTTAAACCTAACTAAGGTTTGCGCATTCTCTTTCTACAAATCATAGGCTATATATTACCCAATGCGTGTACGGCATTTGTGCAATGTTTATGCATGTGAACCGGTGTTAATTTTTTGGTTTGTTTAACATTTTGCGTTAGTTCATAAACGATGACCGCTTCAAGTTCTTCTATCTACTTCTTGTCAAAACACGAAGGTTTTTCTGGAAGTATAAAAAACCTAATCAGAGACTTTATAGTGACAGAAATAGACATAACTGGGAATCGGGTCAGGGCATCTACAATCTCTGAAGATGTGCCATTAAGTTTTGCTGAGACAACTAGGAAGCCCAGTAAGCAACTTGATAATTACGTTACTCCTATTTCAAAAAAGACTGAAAACATATTAGACTGTGACCAATCCAATCTTGAGAGTGTGGACTTGAATGACATTTTGGGACAAATAACCACTGATAAGTTGAGGCAATTTGTATCCTCTTTAAAAGATGGGAGCTCCTCAGTACAAGAGTTAAGTTTAGGATGTTTTATTGACAAGCATCAAAGAGCAAAAGTACATCGTGCTGTCAAAGTTCACTTCCCATTTCTGATGACAATAACTAACCAAAGTGAGATCAAAGTGAAAGAAAGCCCAGACTACAAAGAGCTCATGCATTTGGTTTCAGAAGAGGAAACCGATGCATTCTTCAGATTCACAGATGCTAAAGTTTGTGGATCCTCGTATACATTTCTACCTGATGACAATAAGGAACATAGGACAGCTGTGCATCGTTTCCTGAGCAAAAGGTTTGGTAAACTGGTGGAAACAAAGACCTTCACGGAGCAGGGAAACCCATCGATCTGTGTGAGACTGAGAGAGAAGGGGAATCCAAAGAAGAGGACAGCTGAGGACTGCAGACAGGAAGATGTTTACACAGGTAAAACAAAAATATCAAATAATTGTTTTGAAAAGGAATGCTCAAAGAAATGTGTCATAAGTAAAATTGTTAGGTGGGGTGAAATACGACATAAGCAATTGTGAGAAAACAAAAGGAGATACCACAAATAGTAATACACTCTGAAGACACTGCAAGAAACAGCTGTTCAAATCATTATGATTAAGCCAAAACATTGAGTGTTAGTAAGTTAGTTACTCAACTCAGAGTTGGAATATTGTGTCTGAAAGCACAAAAACACTATTTAATATTGTACATTCTTTTTTGAGTTCTAATAATAACCAGAGCAGTTCAATTAGTCATGGGCTGTGACAGACATGCACATTTTATCAGTCACAGTGAAGCTCCAAATAGCTTACATTGCTTAGTGCAAGACTGGCAGGATATGTAAAATATATTGTAACACTGACTACACTTTACTGTACATATTCTCTGGTCTTTCAGCATTCACTTTATGTAAGGAGAATCTAGAAACATTAGAAGTGATCAGCTTCATGGCATCTGAGCTCGGAGTGCTGCCCTCTGACTTTTCATACGCCGGCATCAAGGACAAGAGAGCCATCACCTACCAGTCCATGGTGGTTAGGAAGGTGTCTACAGATAGGCAAGTCATTGATGCTTTCCAGATGGAAGAATCATTAGTCCAATAAGGATTAAGGCTCAAATCAAAATCTGGTCCCACCAGTACTTTAATTGCTGATAGGCAAAACATTAAGATTTCTCTGTTATGTAATGGTTTTATCACATTCAAAATTGAGGTAAATGTATAATAGCGTTGCCTTTTATTTACACTGTTTTGGTTTTAGGTTGAAGGAGAAGGCCTCAGAGTTTGAAAGAAAAGGTATTCGCCTTTTTGCTTTTCGATCTGTCCATGAACCACTGAAGCTCGGCCGACTTCAGGGAAACCACTTTCATATAGTGGTTCGAGACATAAAGCCACACGTTTATGATGGCCCTGCCTGTGACTCACTTGTTCACACAGAAACCCTGGTGAAGGCGGCGGTAGAAAATGTCAAGGTGCTGTAAGAATTGTTGGTTTTGCTTTGTTTGTTTCAACCAACTGTAAAACAAATGTTTCTCTATTGCAGTGTGGCTTTGTAAACTACTATGGTCCACAGAGATTTGGCACTGCCCAGACAGTTCAGTCGGATCAAATAGGACTGGCACTGCTTAAGGAAGACATGGTAAGTTGATACAGACAAACTATTGACTGGGAAATAGTTTTCCATGCTTCTCAGAGCCTGAAGCCAGTTGTGCAGTTTGTAGTGGCGGACAAATGCTTTCTCTCTTCACTGTCTACTTTTTCTTGAGGATTGCATTGTATAACCCTAACCCTAACTATATCTGCGACCAAATTAATTATCTTCACCTCCTTCAGCCATTGTGGGTTGAAAAAGATCTTTTTGCGCAACACAAATGAGCAAATTCATGATTTTCTGTTTATCACCTTTGTTCTTTGATGCTTGTTTACATGATATATTGCATATCTAATCAAAATAGCTGGCTGGCCCTTATTGAAACCAACTTTACGATGATTGATTTATGCTTGTTTTCATTTACTTTAAGCAACCATGGGTCACTGTTGTTTCTGAAGGCTTAAAGGCAGATTTTGGACCCACATGATGGCTGAATAATGATTTGATGAAAACGCATACATAAAAGCGAGCTCTCCCAATCAAGTAATTCTGATGTTTTGTGCGGTTCTAGGTCGGTGCGCTTCATCTGTTCTTTACTCCAGAAGAAGGAGATGAGCCTCCAAACAAAGCCAAACGGCACTTTCTTCAAACAGGTGATTATTAGCCTGAAACTGCACACTGCAACGATCAAATAAAACCACTGTAGATTTATTGAGTTTGGTCTCTTCACCACAGGAAATGCTAAGGAAGCCCTTCTGCTAATGCCTGAGTCTAAAGCGAGGGAACGCATGATGCTCCGTGCCCTGAACCGGTTTGGAACGGGTCCAGACGGCTGCGCTCAGGCCTGGCTGAGTCTGCCCCACAGCAGCCGCATCTTCTACTTACACTCCTACTGCAGCAGGTAGGAGCTTTCCCATGGCATACGAGAATTATTTAATGCCGGAAATATGGCGCCCGTGGCAAGAACTCTGGTGTGTGCTGTCTTCTTGGTCTGGTGCTCACTTTGGTAGTCTTGCGCAATTTTCCAATGTGATTTTACCGCAAATAAAATACAAATAATAATAAAATTTGAACATTTTGTATGGTATGGGGCTGTATGTGTCTCTCCACAACATTGTATAAGCGGCACGGTGGCTGAGTAGAAAGGACTTTAACCTCTCAGCAAGAAGGTCCTGGGTTCGAATCCCGGTCGGAACAGGGCCTTTCTGAGTGGAGTTTGCATGTTCTCCCCGTGTCTCCGTAGGTTTCCTACGGGTGCTCCGGTTTCCCCTACAACTAAAACATGTACAATAGGTCTGGCATGCGCCTCCTATACTGGTGAGAGGACAAATGCCCAAAAAATAACAATTGTAAACTGCTTTGTGACTCTGGTCTGAGAAAAGCACTTACTTACTTAGTTATAACAGACAATGAAGCTGGGTTACGTGCCGTTTTTCACAAATTTAAGTCTTGTAAAAGTTGTAAACAAATCAGACCATAGCATGCTGTCTTTATACATACACGTTATCTTGTGCATACTAATCACTAATTGACGCTTCAGGCTGAAAGCTGATTGGCTGAGTGAGGGTGGTCCTCTCTTTTTCACTTTTTTAATGAAAAAGCTGATCTAAAGGTGTGACCAACAAGACATGCATGTAAACAAAAACATGCAAGAAAAGTGTTTTTGAGCCAGGAACGAGTTACATAGCTCCATGTTATGGTATTTGAAAGTTAGATTAAAGTTTATTAAAGTGGACCCTTTAAACGACTCACAATGCAAATGGCAAAACCATCATTACCTTTGCATTGCATTTAGTTCAAATATTCCTCAGTTTAACTTTCCTGATCCAGTTGTGTTTATTGTTTAATCACAACTATTTTTATGTGGTAAATGCTATGGTAGAGTCTAAACTTTTTTGAAAACGTCTTAAAATGTTTGACTTTGAGTTCCCTGCATGCACTCTGGAGTAGAAGTAGTTCACACAAATCACAATGTGTCCAGGCCATAATATTAAGGGTTATTTTACACATAAAGCTTTGAAATAATCACATGAAATATTTCCTTATGTATTTATTTTCATCCTACTTGTAGAGTATGGAACGAAGCTGCGGCTTACAGACTGAGTACTTTGGGCAGTCGTGTTAAACAAGGCGATCTGGTGCAGGAGGTGGCCGGCACAATGGATGACCGCAATGGCTCAAATCAGGTATTTATGCACACAGACACCATTTCTGCATGAAAAATGTATCATTACTCATTATAAAGCATGGGTGTCAAAGTCAGATCCCATCCGCGAATGATTTATCTTGGCCCCATGGATAGTATTTGAACTGGCCCGCACAGAGCCATAAGGAAACATTTGATTATTCATCTAACGTTTAGGTGTTTTCTCTTTGTTTGTGACCCTTTTGCAAAATGTTTTCACTTGAAATTAATGACAGAGCCATACAAATATCTGGGACTACTCATTTCATCACTAAATAAAATATGGTACACTGTGGTAGGTCTTGGTTCAATTGGTTATATGCCATAATTTTAATATGTTTTAATAAACATTGTACCAGTCTGGCTCTCGACTTTGACATCCCAGTTATGAAGGATTCTCAAAGTGCGGGTCAGAGGGCACCCGGGAGACACTACACTACATGCATTTTTGAATTCATTAACCATTTCAGTATTTAAAGAAGCTATACTCAATTTATTTTCTAATGAGTTCATACAAATGCTTATTACTACATACAAGTTGTATTATAATTGGTGATTTAATTGAAAACCTGAGCACATTGATTCAGCTTGTGTATGAATTCAGGCCGTAAAAAGTGCTGAGTAGAGACTTAGCGTGATGCCCGCTCTCCTCTAATCACAGAACAGGCTGCGTACTTTAGCCTCTACAGCAGAATGTTGGCAAAATTGGCTATACTCCTCTGGCTGTAACTGCAGACACAGCAAAACAGCCCAAACAACACAACAGTGAAGAAGAGAAGAGGGAACTAAAGTGAAAAAATGATCAAAGAAGAAATCAAGTCTCGGGTGAACATAGCTAGTATTGTCTAAAAATAGACTTAGACATGTCTTTTATTTGATAAAGAGAAATGAGAGGCAAGATTCCAAAAGTTAAAATATTTAATTATCTTCACAATGAAATTGTTGTGGAATTTCTAAGGAGTGAAATGCACAATATTAAATATAAAATAAACAACAAGAGCTGTAATTCAAATCAAAGTGTGGTTTATTGTCTCAGTAAATGTATACATATACAGGAAATACAACCGTGTAACCGCGTGGCAGGTCCCGGGTAGAATGGTCAGCCTGACCGGTGAGCCCGCTCTTCTTGCCCCTGATATCAAGCTAGTATCTGCCTCCACCCCGTCATTGGCCTCGCGTCCCTACAGAACAACAGTTTAGTTAGTTAAAGCAGATTCACATTCTTTGAACTTTGTCCCAGATATCCCATTTCATCATTAGATTCATTCTTAAGTAAAATTGATTTATAATCCCAGTAAGATTTCTATAACAAAATACAAAACTCAAAAAGCTCCTAGCTAACCCTGATCTAATCCTATGAGCTGAGCTTAAAGTAACTGTCCCTAAACTATGAGAAAGAGAGGTCAACCAGGCGCTCTGCGATGACCTCTGTCTGACCCTGCTCAAAAACTGGCTCACTTCGGAGAAACAGGAAGCAGAAGTGCCATATTTTGTATACTGTCATCAATTTAAACTCTTTACATTTTAGTTTCTGTCTTGTGACAGTCTGTGTCCAGCACAAACTCATTTGACCTCAGAGACTTTTGATATAAAACTATACAATTTCATGATTACATATACTGTATAATTTCACAATTTAATAAATGATGACACATCACTAGCTTACATCGTATCCTCTGGAGAGACTTACAGTCTATAGGAGAGACCTGTGGGAGTGGGACCTTCTCGGACTATCTATGCTCGGGCCACATTCGGACGCAAAACTAGCGGTAATATTTCAGTTATATATTTTGTTAGCATTGTGTTGCTTTTGTACCATTTAATCAGTGATTGTTGTACAGCTCACAAGAAGTTGCGCTCATGCTACTGTTTGCATATGTATCAGATCACAAATAAAACTAGATGGCTTCGTAGGAGGAGAGTGTAGGGGAAAGGAGAAGCTTGTGAGCGAGTTGAGGGGTGGTGCTAAAAATTCAGAAACGGGTATAGCTCCTTTAACACAATTTATATTAAATTGTGTGTCATGTATTTTTTTTGGTCTTTATAAACAGGAATCACTTAATGTCATGTATGGTATTTACCCATGTGCATAATACAAACACACATACATTACATAAGTAAGTGCATACACAGATGTTCACACAGACGGTTCCTATAACTCCTCTAGAAGCTCAAAACCTAATCAAACAAACTTACCATGAACCCATAAAAAAATTCACTATTTACCACTATTTTGTTTTTAAATGTGTTTCATACAGAACAATATGTGACTCATTAAACAACACTGTAATGTACTGTTTCGACACTGTAATGTACTTTCATTTTACTTTGATTATTTTACTAAATTTAATGTACATAATATTTTCTTTGCTTTCTTGTATGCTTGTCTTTTTTGACAGATCCATGTTGTAACCGAGGAGGAGGAGGGAAATGGCGTCTTCACACTTGGACAAGTATGTTGTATACTTGTATATGTCAACTGTTTTGCAAGGAGCTATACATAGAGAAATGCCACTCTGTTCTGCACACTGTCCCACAACACATGTAGCATACCAGGCTGTACATTCATGCAAAGTCAACTGCTCTAATGGAAAATAGTCTTATGTCCAAGAGTTCCAAAATTGCCTATTTATTTCTATTGAAGATGGATAGGACAAAGAACAACAAAGCCCTATCTTTCATTCGTCCTATAAGATAAGATAAACCTTATTGATCTCACAATTTGCATAGATAGAATCACTCAGATTGTGCAAAAAAGACATGAAGCGTGCAACATGATGAAGCTTAAAAATATAGTCTGTGCAGGATATATTATGTACAATAAAAAGTGACTATAGCTGTGTTGGTTTTTCTGTCCAATTGCAGGTCATATAAATTATAGTACGTGGCCATGCAGGGCCACATTAAGGCACCCATTGGCCCCAGGCCTTACACTGGATTGTAGGCCCCCCTTCAGTGCCAAGAAGAAAGGCGAAAACTGTATCAAAATAAAAATTCAAATTAAATCTAGCACTGTGTATATAAATCTTTAGTTTAACAACTAAACAAATGAAACAGACAGCCCCTGCAAAAATATAATTGCCAAAATAATGCACTGGACTTTTTCAAAAAACTATCAGATATAGTGTATATTAGCAGATACTGCTATGAAGAAAAAAATAAAGATGACCAGTAATATCTAATAGGGCAGGTCTACTACTGGAACCCATGGGAGCACTTGTGGGTTTGTTGTGTCGCAATCAACAAATTGGTTGCCCCCTTAGTTCTTATTATTTCTGCCTTTGACTGGCAAGCCCCTGAGCTTCTGCTCCTGCTTTTGAATTAAGTGGCTTTGCAAGTAGACTCTATAAAGGAATTCTCAAGTCTATGTTCTGGACTCAAAACGTCAAAAATCTTTTTCAGGTGCACCTCCCAATCTCAAGTCTATGTTCTGGACTCAAAACGTCAAAAATCTTTTTCAGGTGCACCTCCCAATGCCAGGGAACACGGTGAAGTATCCGGAAAACTCCATGGGGTCCTGGTACAGGGAGAGACTGGCTCAAGATGGACTGGAGAACAGCCGCTTCAGAGTCAACAGGCTCAAACTCAACGTGCCTGGCTGCTACCGCCCTCTGCTGGCCAATCCACGCAACCTCAGCTACGAGCTACAAAGAGGAGACATCTGCACTGAACCAGCCAAACTAAATCTGACTTTACATTTTGACCTTCTCGCCTCCTGCTATGCCACCGTTTACCTCAGAGAAGTCATGAAGTGTATGGTGAATTGAATTAGCTTATTATATATTAAAATATATGACTGACATGGCATGTCTCTGTTTTTGTTACAGTGGAAAGTGCTCCAGAATAGCTAAAATGGCAAGCTATAATATTTTTTATGTATCATTAAAGAGAGCAAAATGAAGAATTATTTTTCATAAAACATTCTTGCCTAACACTAACAGGTAAACTGCTCAAAGTGTACAACTCATCAAAGTAAGTCAACCTACAGTGTGGTGATATGATTCTATAATAAGTCTACTTGTGTTTTATTGTAACCATGCAAAGATATGAGTTACTGTTCGTTCTGAAATGCACTAGAGAGCCGTAAAAGTCCTAGATTTATTTGTAAAATATCTTCAGGGCAATAAAGTAACTCAAACCCCCTTCTCCATGTTGAAAGACACTGAGAAATATAAGTTCTGTAGTAGTGTTATTTGAAGTTTTGTGTTAAGTAATTATGAACAGAACCAAATAAAGAACAAAATGATTTTTATAAAATAAAAAAAGAACACTACGTTATTGTGCTTTGCTGTAATGTACACTAGATGGAGACATTAGACAGGGATTTACACAGTATGAATCTCAACTTCTGTTAGAAAATCGACAATTCTAGTCTCACAATGTTGGGCTATACAAAAATAAATGGATTTGATGTTGCTAGTGTGCTTTAGAAGTAAAAAAAAGTATATAATTCAATCAAAAATATTCTTATGAACGTCCAATTAATGGCATTAAAGCAACATAATAAAATGTCTGATATAAGATTATCCCTTCCTAATCCTTGACCAAAAAAATGTTTAGTGAGACAATTGCACTAAAGGTCGCAATGACCCACAGATGATATCATGTATGCTTTATCGTTCAACGTGTATGTAATTGTTTCGGGTTTTTTTCTTCTCAATTTTACTGGCTAAGGTTTGAAACTTTATTATAGCTGGAGGACATTTTGGAAATGGCTGTCAACAAGATTGATAAATATAGTTTAATGAAGTTTCTCCCTTTCAGCAACATGAGCTTCCAGACACATCGTAATACGATTTTTAATAGTTTAATTTCTTTGACATTCTATCTGTCTGGAAAGTATGAAGGCTCTTCAACACTTTAAACATGATATTACATAATATAATAAACGACTTTAATATTTTTTGTTCTTTCCCCATAGAAGGCTTGGGGCTGTTTAAATGCTGATTTTGTGTAATTGATTCTAGTATTGGAACCATTAAATCAAACCAGTGTCAAGTATTTTAATGGGATTTAATGGCTTGTGAATGTTGTCAACTGATATGTGAATAGGTGTAGACACTTTTCTACCTGAGGTTTGCATGTTCTCCCTGTGAATGTGATGAGAGATGAGATGTAGATGGGGCTTGGAACTTTATATAGTGAGGGAGATTCCAAATGCTAATCAAAAATGGTCCCTTAAAAATGCAGATTCTATAACATGCATTGTGCCTTTAAGCAGACTCATCTCACCACAGATCCGTTCTGCTCTTGTCTTCTGGGTGAGGTTTAAACTGCATCTGGCACATTATTCATTCCACAGAATAGAGCTGACATGACATATAATCTTGCCTATTCCTTGTTTTTTTGTTGGTAGGATTTTGGAGGCCCTAGGTTAATCCATTGTCAGGCCCCTATAACGAACGAATGAGTTGAAAAAGTGGCAAACACAAAAAAAGAGAGGGAGTCATGAAACCAACATATTCAGTGTTTTCTTTGTTTTGTGAAATGTTTTCTTACAGCACATATTTTGCATCCGCGGCTATGTTTTGTTTTGACTATTTTGCGATATAGGAGATACTTTTGATTTCCTTGGATTGAACGAAAGGTAAAAATGTTCTTGTTAGATTGTTTCTTATAACATTTGGACTATAATTGTTTAGAGCAAAATCAAGTGTGGTTTTTTTCTTGAAATAAAAGGTACAAACTCAGAATTCAGAATGCACAAACGTAAAGCTAAGACACATTGTTTTCTGAAGACTGGGTTGGCTCAAACACGTGCCACAGCTTTCCCCTGAACAATGACACTGTGAAGCTGGCAACAGTCTAAACCATATGTGTGTGCGGTTTTAGAAATAGACATTTAGAAGTTTCAGAGGTGATTTCTTGAGGAGCTGCATGTATTCTGGTCACAGTCATCCAGAACTGATAGTCTGACAAAGTTCTGACAAACTTATAAATTAAAAACTGCCTTATGAATACAAAATGAATGGAGGAGAAGCACCTTTCTCCTCTTATGCTCTCTGTCAATAACTCGCTCTGCCTACTGTGCTGACACTGAGCTTATACCAGAGTGAACTAAAAACTCATTTGGACTTTCTTTTCTCTGATCTTTTCAGATGTGTCTCTTTGTCTTTATGTGATTTGTTTTGTTGCATTGTCGTGTATGACATGTGCTATAAAAATGAATTTCATTCCTTCCTACAGTAAATGTTAACTCTATCTAGTATTGTTTGTATTGAATTTCCTTCATAATGACTCTGGCCCATGTCACAAATGCACAGAGGCTTCACTGTGACCATGTCCTCCAGTGTCAGTGAAGCTCACAGACCCAGAGGCTGCAGGACGGAGCAGCAGTGGGTTTAGTGGGTCACATGTGATCGTCCCACGAGTGGAAAATCCACTGACCCAACTATTGATGAGCGGAAAGACCAGGCTATACAGTAGCACAGCAATTATTGAATGACGGTATGCAGGGGTAAGCTGCTTCTGAATGGACGTACACAATGTGAACTATATCACAATGTGAGAAGTATGTAATGATACATTAATCCTGCTTTATGCAGTATATTGTCCACAATAACTAGTTTTAACTAAACTAAATGCATTAAACAATAGAATTTAAAGGCGCTATACCCGTTTCTGCAATGTTTGAATGTTTAGCACCGCCCCCCAACTCGCTCAATGGCTTCTCATTTCCCCTGCGCTCTCATCCCACGGAGCCACCTAGTTTTATTTGCGATCTGATAAATATGCTAACATTAGCATTAGCGTAACTTGTAAGCTGTACAACAATCACTGATGAAATGGTACTAAAGAAATGCACTGCTAACACAATATATAAGTAAAAGAATACCGCTAGTTTCGCGTCCGGATGTATTAATTTAAACATTAGAATATATTCTAATATTTAATTATAATTTGTTATAGAGTTCCTCAAAGCAGCAGCAGCAATTCTTCCGATCATTTTTCTTGATAACAGAACTCTCAAACCAATAATGACCGAAGCCCCAATGCAACCTGTTTGTAATTCAGGTGTGTAAAATACTGCCATTACTCTGCAAGTACAAAACGCTATCAGTGCCTGTCACTACACACTTGTCTGTGTAGAGAAGCTAGCGGAGCTAGCCACGCTCAATAAACAACTACATATCTATCAATCAACACAATTAAACGTCAATCGGACAATACAGTATACATATACATCCTTAACACACATGCACGGACGATTTCAGAATTTGCTGTCAACGTTTTCATGACAAAAATACTGTTTCAATGTGACAAAAAGCGATTGTGAAAAACCCGGAAGTTACCATGAAACAGCTAGCTAGCTTAGCTGTTACCAGCCTAGCACGTCCCGGTGAAACTTTTGGGAGCTAACTATTTTATTTGCAGTCATTAAATACATTTCTAATTATAAGGGTTGTCTAATATTTGTTCAAATATGTATATATTTTTTATTTTAGAATTATATTCGAATTTTGAAGTTGAAGCCCTGGTGTTAAGCAGCGCTGTAGAGGCTAGAGGACGCAGGCTGGTCGCTTCTTGTTCTGTGAGCGGAGGAGAAAGAGCGGCCCGCTCAGACTCTACTCAGCACCTTTCACCGCCTGAATGACCTCAAGTTTTCAATTAAATTATGTATTATGATACAACTTGTATGTAGTAAAAAGCATTTTTATGAACTACTTAGAAAAAAAATCGGGTATAGCTTCTTTAAAATACTACAGCAGGACGATAAGAGTAGGGCAATATTTTGATGTTATATATTTATATGAAAGCAAAGGAAGGTTTATTTATTTAAACCTTCCTTTATTTACTTATTTATATTAAAGATATGCAAAAGTAAACAAGGAAATAAACAAAAAATATTGTGGCCCAAAATATATAGTTTCATACATGAGTTATTGAATGATAATTTGATATAGTGATTATCATGGCAGGCCTAATCATTTATTGATTTCTGACCATGTCTTGTTTTTTGGTGAATTAAGTTTAGTCAGTTGGTTAGTTTAGAATTTCATAGATTTGCTTTTGCAAGTCATTTTTAGAAAAAGACAATACAACTGCTGAGCCCATTGCACACTGAACAGCCTGTTCCACTGGAGCAGTTGTGGCGGCTGGGAACTTGGGGAGATGTGGGAAAGCTCATTATTTTCATGGAGAGACTGATGAACCATACGTCTGCTGCCAGCGCTGCTCCACATTCTGCCTAATGTCCAAACACACGGCACTGTCACCAACAAACACACTGAGACTGGCTTTCTGCTGAGCCAGGATAAAATGTAGACACTCATGCTTTTGTTTCTGCAGACTCAGCAATAAATACAATCCTTTTATGGGGTAGTTTGCATGTAAAGTACCAGTAATGCCCAATGGCCATGTGGTTGCACGGAAGAAAACTATTGTTTGCTCCTGAAAACACAGAAACACGCCCAAATAATGGGCGTGATAATAATTCTCCCAGACAGATACAGGTGAAACTGAAAATTGCAGTAGAATATTGTGCAAAAGTTTATTTTTATTTTTTGTTGAGCGACTGCATTAACGTATGGAGTCACTATCAGTTCTTCTAGTTTTTCTTCTGTCTTCTATCCTCCCCCAGATTTTACAGCGTTTCAACCAAATATTTACAGAGTATGGTTTCAACTTTTCAACATTTTACAAGTGTTATACCTCGTTTTTTTTGGTATGTGTATGTTGTGAAGTATTTGAAATATTTCTACTTCATATTTTTTACTTTTAACTATGTTTTATGTGTTTTGAATGTGTTGGCTCTTTTTGTTATTAATTTACTGGAATAGTTCAAAGTACTATTGCAGTACTATAATAAAATATTTGAGTACTGCTTGACTAACACCAGAAATAATC